AAGAAGTGACAAACTTTCTCACCAAAGACGAGCTGGAGACACAGTCCCAGAAGAGACTGTTAAAAAACTTCAGCAAGCTGCAGACTTCCTCTGAAAAGAAACTGAAAGAGGCTAAATTCTCTTCTGTGAACTACATAGTCCAGACAAGTATCAATAAAGTCAAGAGTCCAACCACCAGCACCCCCTGGAGGCCATGGTAGACGTCTACAGCCTGAGGTTATTACCTGAAAAAGTATACCAGACTGGTAGACAGAACATGTACTGACATGTGTTTCTAGGGTCTGCTTCTATTGAATGAAAATAAGCATTTAATTTAATTGTACTTTTATTAAGCATATTATCAGATTTCTTGTGGAAACCACAACATTGTGTTTTCTTTTAACAAAAGAAATGTATTGCACATCAAATTGTCATAGCAATTGGGATTTCTCTGTAATTCTGTGATTTACTACAAATTGATTAATGTTGATCATAATGGTCAAAAATGAAATTGTCCTTTTTCTTAGGACATATTTCTTTGAACTTTTTCTGAGTTGGCAGAATAACCTTCTGTGAAACTTTTATGTCTTTGTGCATCACTTAATAAGTTACAACATCCTTCCAGTGAAAGCTCAATGTTAGATTTTTGAGTGATTTTTTTTTCAACTGATGCTTGAAAATGTACTGAAGGATCTGTGACAATAGTTCATTTCTAATGTTACTTTGTAAATGCTTTGGTGTGTTTGTTTCACACTTAAGTTAGGCTTAGAGTCATCATGTGATCTGTTGTAAGGTCAGTCTATTTTTTAACTTTGTTAAACATTTAATCAATAACATGAGTTGTATTTGATACTGCATTGTGAATTGTCTTTTAAAAAGATGTTTCTCTGATCTTTAGACTTTTTCTTTTTGAAATCGACAAGTTGTTGTGATGTATCATCACTTCCTGTGGGAACTTCTGTACTTTCTGTGTCATTGTGCCTTTAATAAACAACTGAGCTGAAACTAAAAACACATCATTGCACTTCTTTTACTACCTTTGGGTTTTTAAGAAACAAGTAAGTAAAATTTATCAATTTAGATCAGGCAATGATCATAAATTGATAACTGATGACATAGGCTTCACAACTCCTCTTACGTAGGCTGAGCAGCAACCAAGACAATGAGGAAAAATGGTGCTTTACATAGTCTATGTCAATATCTGGTTTCAACTGTATATTCAGTTACTTTGGTATAAAGTCTCAAAAAGACTTTGCAAAACTAAACTACAAATTGTGTCACAGCATTGTTTTATGTGTCGATTTAAATACCAATGTTACAAATAAAAAAATTGTGTTGATGTGTCCCACCATTAAAAAGAATCATGACAGTCTGTCTAATGTGATGCTTAATGATGCAAACCTTTGACCTGAGGAGAAACAGGTTAACTGAGAGACTTAGCAATAACTCTAAAAGGCCTACATCAGAATGCATTCTTTCATGTTTCAGTATTCCAGTTGATATCTGCTTTTTTTTTTATTCTTAACTCATTTTGCACATATGCAAACTAAAAATAGCTCCTTCTTCAAAGAGAAAATTAATTTTAACATGAATGTAGTGAAATCTTGCCTTATTTTGTGATTTTATTGCTTCAATGTTGTCTAAATATTTCATATTATTGAATTGTTAGCATTTGTTACTTTAATTTTACCTGCTTCATGCAAACTTCAATACTGAAGCCTTATCAACTTTTAAAGGTTTTTAAAGCTAAAAGATACATTTTTGAGAGCTCAATCTTATATAACATAATTTAGATGGATGGGTGGATTTTATTAAATCAGCCCTGAAGAGGAGTTTTACTTAATTAACATAATCAACCTCATCAGCAGTTGACCAATCTCCAAAGGGATTTGGCACGTGTTGAAAAGCAGCCCCTTCCCTCTTAAATGTGTTTAAACATCTGATATGTTTAAACACATTTAAACCAGTGTTAAATGGTTTGAAGGGTTTAAATGATTGGTATTTGAGAAAATACCAATTACAATCCAAAAGTATGACAATAGGTCAAATATCTAAAATAATCATTAATTTCAAAAATATTTTTATTAAGCAAATTAAACTAGAATTGTAGAATCCATTGCAGTTCATAAAGATACGTTTGTTTCTCTTAGTAAGCAAAAATTTCATTATGTTTGACGGAGGCAACCACCTATTTAGAGGCATACAGAGCACATACTGAGGGGATTCTGCTCTGATTTGTAACAATTTTAATGGCATTTTCTTCTTGCAATTGAAATAATCTAGACTATGAACAATTTTTGTCTTTGTGCAGAACCTTCACTTTTAGATGTTTGAAAGTAAAATATTGAATAACAATGGCCCTCCTTCAAGAGGTCATGCTTGCCTTATGCTTTGCATAATGAGGCACACTTCTATTGTTCCTCTCATCATAGGACAGAGTGTGGGAAAACAGAAAAGGCTCACTCACAGGGTCGCTGTGGGACAATAGATCCCGACCTTTGACCTGAAGGGAGACAGATTAAAAAGGAGCCCAGCTCCAGATACACAAGTTGGTTTCAGCTTCACTTTGATAAATCTGTTACTTTTTTTACAAAGTTAATATTTCTGTAGGTTTGTTTCGCCCAAATATATATTTTTTGTCAATTCAGTTTCTTTAGTGTATTTATTCACATGAATCTTACCACTTCCACATATATGTAAAGTTCTGGCTTAATGGCAAAAAATTATTTTAACAACAGAAATATATTCAAACAAAAGACAATTTACTATTAAATATTTTCTGAATAGAGGATTTTTAATACCGAAGCAATATTAAGACTAGATGCCAAAGGAGAGACCAAAGTAAAAACAATTGTGTACTAATTAAAATAACCTCTCAATCCCGTTTGTTGTTCCAAATAATTCATGATTCTTCACAGCACTTCATATTGAGACTAACAAATGGGATCATTAATGATAAGAGAAGAAAAAAATGCAACACAAAACTGATTCACAAGTTTACAGAACAAATTTGTAGTTTGTGATTACTGACCTGAAAGAGGATAACGTAGAGGGAACTATTTTTGAAAGGGAGGCTTTGACACGTCTACACATTTCTGTGTACACTATTCCTCCATTAGGGTACAGGACACAGCTGAAACAATATCACAAACGAAAGGAAAGAAAGATAAAATGAATAAAAAGGTGTCAAAGAAAAGATTTTCAAACTTCATTACAATATTCTTGGTGCTTCCATGGACTTTTGGGGCTCCTACAGTTTAGTGGAAAGGTGTAGCTAATTCAGTTATTTACAATATGTCATGTGTACCTCTAGATGACACTACACCTACATTGTTGACATTTAAAAAAAGTTGCATATCACTGCCCACTTAAATTCTCTAGCATCTTTAGAATGAACAGCCCTTAAACTCTGATTTACTTAGAGCTTATGATGGATGTTATGTCAGCACATTATTTATGCAATTGTTTATATTTAAATTGATTTTACAAAGAAGTACATTTTATTTTGTTATTGACAATATATAATATCAACTTTGAGGACATCAGAGTAAACATTGGCTGCTGAGGATGTTTAGATTTAATCAGTTTATCTTTTATTGTTGTTCAATGTTTGATCAAAGCATTGAATAATCAACTCTCTATATAACTTGTTTTCTTCCATGGACATGAATATATATTTATATATATATATATGCTCATTCTTTCCAAATTTTCTTTCCTTTAAGCAAAAGAATGTGAAATCACATTTTATGTCCAAATTAACCAACCTGAATTTCAAACAGTTGTGAAAATTTCCAGGTATTCCATTTACATCATCCTCATCTTTAAAATTTAAAAAAGTGGGACAAGTTTCTATTCAGGTAAAGTTTCATAAATATGTAAAAAAAAAATAAAAAATAAAAAAATAAAAATAAATCAACACATTTACATATTACAACAGACCACAACAATAAAATGCTATGGAAAATTTTGCAAAGTAATACAACTAACTCTGGATACTAATAATGTAGGTGAATGAGATGCATTTGTAACAAATGACCAGTTCTCCTGAGGGATTTGGCACACTTCAAGACATTGTGTCCCCAAAGACTGTTCCATTGTTTAGAAGTGTTACCAGACTACATTTTATGAGGGTGTCTACAATTTTGATCATGGGGTAACAATTTGAGATAAGTACAGTGATAAAATTCAGCCAAAAAAAATAATAATTTTTTACAGTCTTGTACAGAGTTCTTACTTGAATTTGGTCTATACAAATTGCCAAAGCCATCAATGGATGCTTCTCCAGATGGTTGGTGATGTAATGCTCTGTGTCTAAGAGCTACCACCTGTCACAGACGTGCCTTTTGTGGATCTCTAATCACAGCAGACAGTCAGTGTGGGAAACTCAGCTCGACATCCTACTCACACTGGCTACAAGGCACGTGTCGGTTAATAATTACACTGCTGCTCAAAATGGGCACGTGCCAAATCTCAGCTGCATCTGGACCTCAGCATGTTAATTGACATAAATTGTATCTTTAATGATTTCTACCATGCTAAATTATTAATTACGCTTCATAGGATTCCTCCTTTTTGTGAAATTCTGCCATAAAACTAAAAATGTAAATTATTTTAGAATAAAGAAAAATAAACTTTTGTTACTTTGTGTATTATTTTTAGTTTTAACCAATCAAAGGTTATTGTCTCTGAGCCTGAAAGCTGTTTTGTTTAAGTTTGGAAATGTTAAATTTAAAAGTGTGCGGTTATTCTAACTCCATTAATCTCCACTTTAGGGAGCATATCAGCTTCCAGGGTCACTACTTTCCCACATTGACACAAAGTGCTGTGAGTCTGCTCCACCTGCTCCTTCTCAAATCTAACAATTATCCCTGCAGGCATTAACAACAATATGTTAGTGCCCCACATGCCCATTGTTTGTCTAGAAGATCTGATTGGCTCAAACTGTGGGAAAGCTCAACCAGAGAGAGATCCACACATTGATATGGAGATCTGGGACTATAAATAGGAGTGCTGCAGCCTACAGAGATCAGATTCTCTCTTCAGAGACCTGCACAGCATCAACACCAAATAATGGCACCTTCAATCACTGCAGTGATAACTAACTCTCAGGAGCATCTGACTCTGAACCACAAGGTAAGTTAGATTCTCAAGAAACCTGTTAATATTTCAGCTTTTTCTACTAACAGCAACATTTCATTCCATCATAGGTTTATTAATGACTTCTCTATTCTTTCTACAGCTCAGAAAGCCTCTGGTGGAAAAGTTACGCAGAGAGCGAATCAACAGCAGCATCGAGCAGCTCAAGTCTCTCCTGGGTCCAGAGCTCCTCAAACAGCAGCCAGAGTCCAAGCTGGAGAAAGCAGAAATCCTGGAGATGACAGTTTGCTTCCTGACCAAGCTTCTGCAGCAGCACCAGCAACAGAGACGACAGCTCAACCGTCTCAAAAGCACTAAGGCTTGTTTTGATGACAACCTGACCAAGACTGAAATCTCTCTGAGCTCCACAGTTCAGAGCACCACAGGCGAGGATCCAGATTGTGAAGTTCTGTGGAGGCCTTGGTAGAAACCTACTGATTGTAGATGCTACTAGTTCACATTGGTCAAACGTGACTATACTTAGAAACAGAGAGGATTTTTAAAATTCTTTTTAAACAGAGTTTTTATTACGTATGCACATTTTGTTGCATTTGTTTTTATTATATTTCCAGCAGAAATTGCTTCAGCATCTTTTGTGTTGAGAAGGAAAATAATCTTATGCATGTTGTAAGAAATTTTATAGATTGAATTGCAATCTGTTTTTACTGTACCTTAGGGCAAATAATAATAATACTGATAACATTTATCATGTTCTGTACAGTAACAATACCATATTGGTCAAGATTACTGAACTAAATTGTGAAATTTTAAGAACTTGATCTTCTGTTTGTGCAGAAAAATTGCTTCTATATGAGAAGCCTCATGATTCATTTTCTTTCAGTGCAAGATATAATATTTTTAGGGAATAACATGAAGAGTTTTGGTGCAAATAACACTATTACCTTAGTGTTATTTGACTGTAACACTAAGGTAACAACTGCTGTAGTTTGATTTCTGTTGCTGTGATGACAATTATTTTGAAGGTCGCGTTTTCTATTTGACTTTTAATCTCTTTGATTACGCCTAATGACAACACTTTACTTCTTAAAAATGTGATGATAACACAATTTTATGAATTGTATTTTCTTTTCTGTGGTTGATGCAGTGGACACTTTGATCATATTTGATCAGATATCAAAAATGTTCTTTTTCTAAAGATTTTGTTATCACTGTGGGATTACAGCAACATGATCTATTTTAAGATCAGTTTATTTTTTTAACTGTTTCATGTTGAACATTTTTGTGCTGATAATAATTGCCTCATCAAATAGTGGCTTTAAATATTGATGTGATCAGTTTAGGTCAGAAAGAAGATGTCAATCTTCTCTTTAAAAATTATAGAGCTTTTTTTCACACAACGTAAAAAAAGTGTTTTTATGCTTCAAAGAATAGGGAGTTCTTTAAGTTGTTTATCTTTTATAAAGATGTTGTTCCTTTACTCTCACTGAGTACACTGTCTTGTAGAAATTTACAAGTTGATGTTTGATGTTTCATCAGATTTGTATGGAGTTTCACAACTTTGTGTGGTTGAGGTAATAAACACAACCAAATCCTCAATAACGGTGATTCTGTTGTATTTCTGACAACTTTATGTATTCATTATGGCTCCTTTTCTAGATTTAATCATTTTATTACTTTATGTTAAGTTAAATTTGAAAAACAACCATTTGGCGCATTGTGAGTAATTAGAAACATGTTCTCATAAACTCAGATTCCAATTTTGATGAAGGATGTTAAATGCACGATGAGAAACATTGGTGTGCTTTTTTTTCTCCTGTTAAGTCTCCTCCTGTGCCCTTGAGACCTATTTATTATTGCAGTTATGCTGTTTCATATGTCTTATTGTCAGAGATCAAAGCACTGTTCAAACCTTCAGCAATAACCAAGTTTTGTATTGTTTAATAAGTTTAATAATTACTTCATGCTTGTTGCTGCAGCTCAGAAAGCAGAAGCACCAAAAACATTTGAAGAATGTCAACAAGATGTTGACTGATAAAGCTTACTCACTCTTCTGTGAGCTTCACAGTCCTGACCAACATCACCAAAGACAAGCATCAATTTCACATCGCCCTCTGGAGGCCGTGGTAGAAAACTGCAGGCAAGTGTTTTCTGTGATACTTTTGCTAAACATTTTCAAAGACAAATGAAAAAAACTACTGTCTCTCAGTTGAAAAAGAAGTCACCCTGTCCTGCAACTGCAGGAAAAAGACATTATTATGGTCTTTTGACTTTATATTTAACACTGTTGGTAACATTATTGTAACAGTAGTTAACCTTTCATTGTGATTTGTTTCATTTTTAGAAACTGTAAATCAATGTTCTTTTCACACATTTATCTGAGCACATTTTAATGACCTATTTTAAGATCAGACACAAGGTTATTTTTACTTCTCATACTGTAACGGTTAATAAAAAAATATGTTGGTCTTTCTTTACTTGCTATATTATTTGATTGAAGTTAAATCCTGCATGTGGTTCCTTCCAAAAATGAAATGAATTCATGCATTTGGATAGTTGTCTTATCCATTCATTTTGTGTGGCGATGACTTCCAAACAACAAATCATACATGTCCCTTATTTTGACATGACAGTCATTTTATCTGATTCACAAAAATAGTTTTATGTATAAATAACTTACAAATTGGGGCCATGTACAGAAGTACACGTTTTGTATAAACTAAAACAGCAACATCACTAACATTTTTGATGACAGGAGGTTAATACTGACATGTCTCAAATGGGCACACGTAGTGGAAGTAGTGAAAGGACGTAGTGTGGGAAACCAGAATAAACCTTCTCACATAGCCCCTCAGGGACAATAGACCCTGACCTTTGCCCTGAAGAGATGGAAGTTAAATGGGAACTTGTCCCTTAAGCAAGTGATTTGTTCCACTCTTATTGTCACAATTAATGCTACCAACTTTTAACATTTTCACCATGTAAAATATGTTTTCCAGCTTTAAATATTTATTTATTTACCATTTTAAGAGTTTTCAAAAGTAATTTATTTTTTACACCCCTCTAAAGCCAACCAATATTTCCCTCCAGATGGTTGGTGATGTAATATTTAGTTGTTATAGCAACACACAGCTAGCATCTGTTTTAAGAAATCCTTGTGTGCTGCACAAAACAGGCAGTCAGTGCAGGAATCTCACATCAACCTTCCCTTCACACAGCCTGCATGGCACGTGTCAAATAAACTGATTGTATCTGGATGGTCGCATCTATGTGAACAATCTTTTGAATCTAATTCTAATGAAATTACATTTTTAGTCAAGAAAATCCTAATGATATTCATAGATTTGAAGTTCTATATATTAATTAGATGAAAAAAAAATTTTTTTCTATCTATTCACTTCTGAACACACTATGAAATTCTGTTTCAAAGTACTCACTTTCTTTTCTCAAAATGACATTTTTGTTTTTGATCAAATATTTTTCTTTTTCTAACTGGCAGTACAGTTTCAGGTTTACAATCAACTAAAATGTTCTATTTTTAATTTATTTGCCATCAATGTAATTCAGAACAAATATATATTTGGCTAAAAAACATTATAATTATTATTTTTTCTTTTTCTTACATTTAAAGTGTGGACTACATTAAAAGCATTATTCGTCTGGATGCATGCTGGGCTCATCAGCGTGTGCTCAGTCGGAGGTATTGATCTCAGCATCAGGGAGCCCCTCTGCTCCCTCTGCAGGGTCGCCACTTTCCCACATTCAGGCAGAGCTCTTTGAGTGTGTTCCACCTGCTCCTCTGAAATCTAACCATTGTCCCTCGGGGAATAATGGGAGCGTGTTGCTGCCCCACATGCCTTATTGTCCTGCAGAGTTCTCTGATTGGTTCAGACTGTGGGAAACTCCTGTCAAACCAAGATCCACACATTCAAACGGAGATCTGGGACTATAAATACAAGGGATGAAGCCAGCAGAGATCAGATTCTCTCTACAGAGACCTCTACAGCACAGAGATCCAACCACGGCACCAGCAATCACTGCAGCAATGACCAGCTCACAGGAACATTTGATGCTGAACCATAAGGTAAATATGAACCTCATATATTGGTTGTCCTTCAAAAGACTTTGTGAATTTTGTTAAAAATGTTACACAGCAGAATGTTTTTAATAACAACTTTCTTTTATTCCTGCAGCTCAGAAAACCTCAGGTGGAGAAACTACGCAGAGAGCGAATCAACAGCAGTATCGAACAGCTCAAGTCTCTCCTGCTGGGTGCAGAGTTCCTTAAACAGCAGCCAGACTCCAAGTTGGAGAAAGCGGACATCCTGGAGATGACTGTTTGCTTCCTGAGGCAACTGCAGGCGCAGCATCCCGATGTGGACTCCGGGGCTGTTGAGCTGGGGTATTCCAGATGTGTTCAAGAGGCTGTGCACTTCCTGTTCAAAAATGAAGTGAAGACACAGTCACAAAGAAGACTCCTTAAGCATTTCAGCATGATGGAGTCTTCCTCGAAGACGAAATTGAGAAAAGCAGACTTCTCTCCTCAGAGCTCAACAGAGCAAGGCAGCGTCAGTAAAGAGAAGAATCCGCTACACAGCCCCCTCTGGAGGCCGTGGTAGATGATTACAGCACGGAGTTCCCACAAGAAAAACTTAGAACATATTGGTCTAAAAAATGTACTGGACTAAATTCTTTTTTGAAATCAAATTATTTCAGTTTAAATAGAACATGCTATATATTTTGTAAATGTGTTACCCCCCCCCCCCCAGCCCCAAGATTACATTTCCAATGAAAATAGAGAAAAAAAAAGCATTGTCTTTGATTTTCAAAAGACAAACATATTTTTATGCATTTTTGTATATGATTTCTATAACTGTACTAGTGATAATGTAGTAATAGGAATCCCGGGAACATTGATTATGTTTTGATTATTCATAATCATGTTCTACAGTTTATAAGTCCTGTTTTTGGAATTATTTGGAAGGAGCTATTCTTTCTTTACAAATCTGTTATATGATTGAAACATTTATACTTTTGTTTTTAAAAAAAATTTCTTAATTTTGTAATTTTGTTTACAAGTTTTCATCAATAATGTTTATTACTTTTGGGGAATCATAATTGATCATCTTGATCATGTATCATCAAGTATCTACCTCATTTTTATTTGTATAAATGGTCTGCCTTTTGTTTTACAAAAGATTTGCTTAACAGTCACAGTTTATTTGTGACCGTATTTACATAAAAAACAACTGCATTTGTTGTAATTATGATGGATATGATCTGTTTTAAGGTCAGCTTTTAATATGATGATTATTTGGTTGATTAAAACCATATTTTCTACTCCTCATACAGAGTGAGTTTCATATGAAACAATGTACTTTGTCTTTTATAAGGACAGATGTTCATTTACTTCTCTGAGTACATGATATTTTGTTTAAGTTTATATTTTGTTGTTGATGTATCATCACTAGTTGGAGCTTTAACAATTCAAATTGATCATTGTGCCTTGTTGAATAAACAAATGCGACCAGGTGAACAGTTTTCTTCTCATTTTCTGAGATCACCTGTAGAAAATAATACACCTGTGTTTTAATATTTCAGTTCTTTAATCTGCCCACTGTCAAATTTGACTTGCAGGAACAGCTTATCAATATCCAGCTAAAACATCCTCATCTGAAGGAGATAAATGAGAAGCATAAATATTAAACATATAAAGTAGAATGAATGAAGTAGAAAAATCACATTATGATTTTTTTTTGACATCATATGAATTTAAAGTATGTAATTTAAAGACTGTATTGTAATACATTGCAGGTGTCACAGACTTCCATATAAAATATTTGGACTTATTTTTGAGACCTGAGGCAGCAAAATGCCGTGTTCTGCATATTGCTGAGAATGGCTGCTGGATTTTACTCTCAGCGATGAGAGTAAAATCCAAAATGCAAAACTGTGGAATTTTTTTTATTTCTTTTGTTGGAAAAAATATAGTTATTCATATCATCTACTCATTAAATCCAGAGCACAACAGTTGAGGATTTTGATATCTGATTTTGTCATTTTTACGTGTACCTTATCTTTTTACACCTAAAATCATAAACATCCAACAATAATTCAATTTTAGTCTCAAAATACTATTAATAAGATACCATAAACTAATTTAATGTACTCAAGTCAATCATTCTAATAATCTACATCATCCACCACAAATCATCAAAAATTTTTGAATCCAATTTTTATCTACATTAATTTTGGGAACCAGTAAAAACATTAACTCTGTTAAAACTAAAAATTCTGTAGTGACTGTGATAGATTCACTTAGCTGCACTTTGTCAGATGTTTTATATCACCACTTCAAATGTTGCTTCATTTCTGAGCCAGCCAATTGCTCTACTTCCCTCCTGCATGCCTGGTGATGTAATCCAGTTTCTTCAGGAAAACAGAACCAGCATCTGTCACAGGCTGGCCCTTTGTGGTTTTATGACCATGGAGCAGGGAATTAGTGTGGGAACCTGAGACCAGCTTGTTACTCACATGGAAAGGAGGGCACGTGCCATGAGATAACAGCATGTAGGCCCCAGGGAAAAAAAAA